GAAGCTTTTAGAAGAATTTTGAAGGATTTTGGACGTCGGGAAATCCCAGTTCATGGAGTTGCAGAGGTGGCCGGATTATTGTGGGTTTTTTCGGCGAGTTTCTGGTGGATTTAAGACTTGAAAGTGGTAAGGAATTGTTCCTCTCATTACAAGCTTCATTTTGGTATATAATTCATGGTATATAATTCATGAATTTTGGTTAAGAATCAAAGATTAAAGATTTTTCCCTTTTCCGGCAATCGCAGCGGCACCGGTGCCGGACTCCGGCAAACCAAGGAAGAAGGAGGAGAATATTCCGTCAAAGTAGATAGAGTATTCTAACGCCGTTAGGTAATTATAATGGTATATGTTGATTTTTAACAGAATATTCCTTAACACCGTTAGGGAATCCGTTTGGTGTGCCAGGCACGTGCCTGAGTGTGGGCCGCGTGTCTGGCCGTGCCTTGGTCGGCGCGTGGGTGCTCGAAATTTTTTTCTAAAAATATAGGGATGTTCCTGAGGTTGAGTAGGTCTTGGTGGTATATTCAATTACCCCAATTGAGCAATGTATGAAAAGTTATTACCTAATTTTGTGTATGTGCTTTAAAATAACGTTTATATAATTGTTTCGCATATAGGTGAGACCTATCCTGAGGACGAGCGTAGTCAAGCAAGGCTCGGGGGTTACGACCCTTCCACATATCAGTGAGTGGGCTTTTGGTTTTCAGTATATACTTATATACCTGATATTTTTCTCAAAAAATGAATTTAAATGAAATTATGTTTTGAAATGCCATCATATTGATTTATACTTATAATATGAATTAGTATAGTATGCATAAATATGATTTGACGCTGTGGACGCTTAGGTAAGTACCATGTGAGTTGTAGACTGTGTATGTGTGATTTGATGATGATGTGAGACGTGTTAGAATTTATAACCTGCACCCTGGTGTTAGTGCTCCTGCATGTGGCCAGGACACAGGCCTTCATGTGATGTTCATCTCCCGCACCATACACTCACCTTGGATCCAAGTTAGGTGCACAATCCTGTCGTACATATCACTATAAGTGGTTCCGACTCTCTTAGGTGACCCGCGATTATTCGCACAATCTTCACGTGATCGTAGCACTAGAGTGTATTTATTTATTTACACCCAGTCCTGTCATACAAACCACTTTAGGTGGTTTCGACTCGTGTGCAGGTATATTTGTTGAGCTATAGATTCAGCTGTATAGGCCACTTTAGGTGGATCCAACTGATATGTTATTTCACCTAAGTTGCTTATTCTGTTATTTTGAGATATTTGGCATGACATACTTATGAATATTGTTTCTGAGCATGGTTTTGAGATATGTATATATATATACACACACACATACATTCTATTTTCTGGGAAATTATACAGGTTTTACGGTGAAGGGTTAGAACTTTTGTTAAATGAAATGGTTTTGAAAAGCTTTATTTTTACCCACTCACACTTTCTGTTTTGCACCACTCCAGGTTCTAGTTAGGAGTGCTTGTCGGTGTCTTACAAGGAATTCACGGCAGCTCTGACAAATTATTGCCAATGTAGGATTATCTTTGTTGTTGTATAATTAGTATTTGTTATGCCGGACTGCACTTAAGTTACTTATGCTCTGATTGTGAACTCACACTTATTATCGCACTTGCACCTGATCTCATCTAGTGCTTTGGTTGGTTTGGTTATTGTTTATTCGCATATCTTATATCAATATTGCTTCTGCACTGTGCATATGACTACGTCACCCTCACCTGACGGCCAGCATGCCTCGATCTAGGTCGGGGTGTGTCACTAGTTAATGGGTTTTATTCAAGTAAAAACTTATGTCGGGTTTTATGTAGAGAAAATTAAGTTTTAGAGGCTAAAGTTATATTTTCAGTTTGTAAGGGTTTGTAATATTCTTATTCTCATTATTTTAAGAAAACTAAAAGAATACCTATCTACTCAATAAGATTCTTAACATTATATTTACTTGTACACCTCTATTGTTTAATTAATAACATACTAGCATATAGGCACACATAAAATCTGTGAGAAAACTTTTTATTTTTGTTTTTGAAATAGAAGGAGAGAGGAAGAGAGTGATAGAGAATGTGGGAGTGAGAAGTTTTTTTTTAATTTTATTTTTTTAATTAGAGATATGTTAGGGTTACATGTAGGTGAGGCTTTGAAAAAAAAAAGCAAAATTTGGTTGTGTGAAATTACATTTATGCCCTATATTTCTTATTCATGTTCTGTTTTAATTTGAGGGTCAAACTAGTAATCTCATAGAGTTTTGGTTGACAATGAGTGTTTTATTAATTAGTAAAGATATTAGCATATGGGCTCACACAAAGTGTGTGAGAATTTTTTTTTATTTTTCTTTTTGAAATAGAAGGAGAGAGGAAGAGAGTGCTAGAGAATGTGAAAGTGAGAAGTTTTTTATTTTTTTATTTATTTTTATTTTTTAAATTAGAGATATGTTAGGATTATATGCATGTGAGTGATGAGTTGATATTATACTATATATTTTACCCTAATCTTAGTTATAATTTATTGGTTATTTTGGTAGAATTTTGATACTTTGTTATGCATTTTCAATGTAGGACATTCAACTTCTTCTAGAGAAAAAAGTAACCAAACGGATGAATTTTGGAGTGATTCCAATTGGAGGATGTTCGTGAGTCTTTCAAGATGATTATGTCAAAATTCCAGATTTTTGGAGGTCAAGATGACATATTTTGAGGAAGATTCCTTCTGAGGATTTGTAGGGGACATTTTTAGCTTTCAAAAGAGAACTTTTGGGACCAAATCAGATTTGATTTGGTCGGTCAAAAGTCTGATTTTCTAAAAAGTTCGAATTTTAGTTTGAATAGGAAACCTTTTATTTTTTGTTTTATTATTTTATTATGTTTCATAGTTTTATTCTAAGACTTTTTAGGGTTTTATTTTAGGCTTTTTTTATTAGCACCCCACATAATGTTGAATACACCCCACATTAAAATTTAATGTTAATTGACTTGTATGCCTTAATATGCAATGACTATTTCGACCTTGTAAGATTATAAAACATTTAAAATAATTCTTAATACACCCCAAATAACACATCCCAATATTATTTATCTTCTTCAACTCTCAAAACCATTCACTCTCCATTATACATAGAACAAAACCCTAATCAATAAAACTACAAAGACATTTTCAGAAAAAATTATTCATAAGAGAATCTTAATCCAAAACCAAATACACTTCACATTGATAATTGATATTCAATCATTTAATCCCAACTTTTGTCCCCATTTTCATATTCCTACTTGGGCAGTTTCCATCTTTTGAACCTGATTCTTTCAATCAAATGAATCTTCCATACCATATCAAGTAACCCCTTAATTAGTCTTATTAGTTGGTTGTTCGGCTCAGAGAAGCAATACAAAGGCCCTCATTTGCAAGTCTTGTTTTAAGGATATATGGTTTCCACATATTTTCGAGGAGAGCTCGGAAAGGTTGTCCCTTTCTTTTGCATACACATCTTTTAGGTTTCGCAACATTGTCCTGCTTATCCTGGATTGAAGTCCGAACAAAAAGAAATGGAGGAACTGAAGCATTGGCCTTTCCTTTAAATGTTGTGACCCCAAGTTTGTAATCAAAGCAATGTTACTCTTTAATCAACATTTAGCGTGGCGTGGCGTGGAAGAAAAAGAAGAATAATTGTGGTTGGTTCTTGCTGGAGAAGGGGGAGGGCTATTTTTTTTTTCTTTTCTTTTTTAAGATATGAAAGTGTGGGGTATATGTAGAAAATGTGGGGTGTATGTTGAGGTGTGGGGTGTGAGGGTATTATGGAAAAGTAAGTGGGGTGTATTAAGATAAATTTTAATTAAAAAAGCAAATGTGGGGTGTATTAAGTTTGTGGGGTGCATTCAACAATATGTAGGGTGTTGATAAAATAAGCCTTTATTTTATAGTAGTATAAATAAGGCTTATTAGCCATTAGGAAGGAGAGAACGCACGCACTATTTGGAGAATTGCTTTTGAGAATTCAAGTTTATTTACAAGGTGTTTTCTATCCATATTTTTAATAATATTTTGTTTTATGATTGTTCGTTTCTAATTTCCGTTTGCTAAGACGATGCCTTGAGCATTAGCATGAATATGTAGTTTTTATTTAATTGCTTATGATATTATGCATGTATACTTTGAATTATTAATCATTGTGCTTTAAACTGTCTTTGTGTCTTAATGATTAGCTACCATTAGGATGTTTTAGGATGTTTAGATAAGTAATTAGATGCAATTCGGTTAGAATGCCATCGGGGAATTGTGTATTGCTTCTTGTGATTGATAGTTGTAATTTCACCTAGGGTGAATGCCACGTCGTAGGGGTTGCATGGTTTTTAAAAGGGTTTTCACAAAGTATAATGAGTCATGCATGTTTATATTTGATCTGAATGCCACAGACAAATTGCATGTTTGATATACATTCTAGCTTGCATGCTACAAGTAGAATATGCATAAGGAAAACCTAACCTTCAAAGTTGCACGGGTAATTCATAAGTAATTGGTAAATCTACATAGAATTGTTAAGGGGAAGACGGAACCCTAGGCCTTTTACAATTTGGTTTTCAAAACGTTTTCTTTTGTTTTCATTATTTTGCTAATTTCTTTAATCATTTTATTTAAATTCGTTTTTATTACATTTAATTTCAAAATCAACTTTTTCCAATCTTTGTTTTCAAATAATTAACTAAAAATTAGTTTAAATACATATTATTCATTCAATTCCTGTGGAGAACGACCTTACTTGAGCCATTTATATTACAATTACCTTGTTCTCTTGCAAGTATTTTGTGTGTTTTTATGCCTACTTTTTTAAATTTTTAAATTTTTAAATTAGAGATATATTAGGATTACATGTGGGTGATGCTTTGAAGAAAAAAAAAAGAGCAAAATTGCAGCGAGAGTCCTCCTATATAATGGGGCTTGGCCCCAACCATTATGTAGAATCCAAATTAAGCAAAACTAGTACTAGTTCATTATTTGGAATTTCTAGCTAACATGGCGAGTCAAGTTTCTTCTCCTCGTCCTAATACACCTCTTCCAACCGGTAATCATGATTACCAAGGATACCGACGACAGGTGACAGCAGCCAACATGGAGAATCATCATGGAGCTCCACAGAACCTTCAGAGGCCTAATTACAACACACCTCTTCCAACCGGTGATCATGATTACCAAGGATACCGACTACAGGTGACAGCAGCCAACATGGAGAATCATCATGGAGCTCCACAGAACCTTCAGAGGCCTAATTATAACATCAAATCGTACGAGGCAGCGGAAATCCATGGTGGGATCCTCACAGAATGGTATGGTACTCGTATTCCTACCGCTAAACCGATCAATATTAGGCGTTATTATTCACTAGTTAGCCCGCTAAATATCATGCTTGAATACATGGTATGAGAAATTGTAAAATTTTTAAGGTCGACGGGCCAAAGACCCACTTCAACAACACACCGAAGGTCCACTCCAACAACGATACTGTCCTCGTGCGAGGCAGCGACACTCTATGGTGGGACATGCCTCACAGAATGGTATGGTACTCGTATTCTACCGCTAAACCGATCAATAATAGGTGTTATTATTCACCGGTTAGCCCGTTAAATATCATGCTTGAACACATGGTATGAGAATTGTAGAATTTTTCAGATCGACGGGCCGAGGGCCCACTCCAACAACATGAATATTGTCTCCACTTTACCACGTATCTAATCCGTTAAGTGTGGGGTTTTATCACAAAAGAGATCGGAATTAGTTTTCTCCTTTCTCTTTGGCCGATGTGGGATAATGAGATTCCAACGCGTCCCCGCACATAAGATCCCATTTTGTGGGTTACTCGTGGGGATCCACACATCAACAACCATGTGGAGCCAAGCTCACCCAACACGAGGGGCCAAACGGTACAAGCTTGTCATTTGGCTTTGATACCATGTAGAATTTTTCAGGTCGACGAACCGAGGGCCCACTCCAACAACACCGATACTGTCCCCACTTTACCACCTGTCCAATTCGTCAGGTGTGAGGTTTTATCATAAAAGACCTCAGTATTAGTTAGAGTGGGATAATTATACTTAAATTGCTTTTCTCCTTGGAGATGGATTGTCTGCCCTCCCCTTCCCATACCCTCCCCATGCCTTCCTATTTTGTGCAGTCACGGTTAAGACACGTCAATATTTTATATAAATTTTTTTATAAAAATAATTAGACAAAAAGCAAATGTTGACGTGGCTTAACCGTGACCGCATAAAACAGGAGGGTATGAGAGGGTATGGAGAGGGGAGAGCAGACAATCCATCTCCTTTCTCCTTTCCCTCTGTCTAATGTGGGATAATGGGATTCCAACAGAAACAAATGCCCTATAGCTAGTTGTCCTTTTGTTGTTATAATAGTTAACCTAGCTCTTATCCACAGCTTCATAAAGCTGTTTAATGAGGGAAGATCTAGCTAGCTAGTACAAATTATGCCCTAGTTCATCATTTTCTACTTTCACATCGTGTGTATCTTGACGTTTTATATCGTCTGTATCGTTTTTTAATGCCCTACTTGTAATTTATGTATTATATAGTGTGTCTTGATATTTTATACAGAACACGTCCATGTCTCTCGCTCTTTTATTTTCTTCATGTGACTTGCGATGCATGCATGCACGATTAATTGTGAAATGGATTAATTTCAGTTCAATAACATATGGCTTGATTAATAATACAGGGCGACACGGGGTCCTGTGGCAAATGGTAAAGAGATTCGTAGTAAGAAGCCGCCCAGAGGCAAATGGTAAAGTGGTTCATAGGACTTATATATCGAGGTCCTGTGGTCAACTAATACCATTCATATTTGTAAGTGATTCATAAGACTTATCAAGCACCTGTGGTTGAGTTTTACCTTTTGCGGTATCGTTTGTATAAATTAATAGTAAAAGAGAAAAAAAGGAAAAAAAGGGAGAGGATATATTAAATTAGCTAGTAGTAGTATGTATAATAATCAAACTCTTCCAATAAAGTTGTATGCAAGGGAAGTAGCTAACCTTTTGCTCTATATATGTACTTTCAGAGCTTTGTTATATCTGTCCCCTAGCGGACCTGGTATGTATTTGTAATTTTAATGAATGTTTAAGTTTGATATATATTGAACTTTTTTAAGAAAGAAAAAATCGATACCCAGTTTTAACATCCATATATGGACCATATGCATGCATGTACCACCAACTAAAACAAGTCCAGTTAATCACTCAAGATCCCACGGGGGCCTAAAATATTTGTTTTAAGTGTTCAATAATTGCTTATGAGGGGAAATGACAAAAACAAATAAAACGAAACTGGATACTTAAATGAATTAGTTTAGTTTTGATCATGCATGCTAATAGTACTAGAGGTTGAGGGACTAACCAACCAATCTTGACTACCTTTCATACCTGTTGGAAATATGAATCAAACATCAGAAAAAGGAGGGATATTATAAGTGATTTGGAGTTAATGTTAACGTTATTTCACATAATGCCTTTGGTTGTATAATAGAACTTTAATTTTTTTATGACCGGCCCTAATTTGGGGCTCCGGTTGGAATATTCTTAAACTTAAGAGTAGTGCTACACTTACCATCTCTCTGATAGAGGTTAGGCCCACTAATACTTGTGTATAAATGGATGGTAATAATATACAGCATTTTTGGAAGCTTAATCAAAATTCATGCTTCATCCTATTCAGCCCGATTTGACGGAAAACTAAGCTGTTAAAAGAAAGATGATGTGAGTTGAAAAGAATTTGAATCTGGCATAGTTGTGCATTCAATTGCACAGAGACTGACTGAATTGCTAATGCTTGGCTAAGTAGTCACGCTTTATCAAGAAAAACAAAAACAGTATACCACACATTTCATATCAATTCCCAATTGGAGGAAATAGACCAGGGCAGGTTGTAAGACCTCGTTTGGTGGATAAAATAGGATTTGGGTTGGATAACTTACTAGATTTAATAAATTATTGAAACAAGAAATGAATGTCAACTTTGAAATCTTGTCCAAATTCTAAGGTAGAATATGAAATAGTGGTGAAGAAAACCTTTTCATTTCTAATACTACCAAGGTGGAAGGGGTAAATGTGTGTGCACTGTTGTACAAATGCCTAAGTAAGGATATTGTTTTCGATTGACTCCAGCAACCAAACCGCAAGAGACACAAAAACACTATACGAAAAAGCAAAAAGCATAACAACACAAAGATTAATCGTGGTTCGGCCAAACTTGCATACGCCAATAATTCTTTTGATATTTCATTATTTGTCTAACCGTTTTGGTTTACAAGAAATTCCCCTTTGCTCTTTATGTCTGCGGGTGTATTCAATTAGGATTTTGAGAGAGTTTCAGAGAATTAATAATTCTAAGAGTATTCAATTGAGAATTTAAAAGACTTTATATTAAGTTTAGGTGCATTCAATTGGGAATTCTAAAGAGCTCTTAAAAGCCTCTAGAAATGAAGTGTATTCAAGTGAGAATTTTTGAGAATTTTTTTATATTTAAAAATTGCTATAAATTTAGGTGTATTCAAAGTGTCTCCCTTTATATATGCTACTAGTTTGAAGCCTAACTAGTCGGACTTTGGGCCTTGGGAATACTCATAAATTTAATGAAATTCATGTTTTACATTATGAGCCTTACACTTGGCATACTTAACACCATTAATCAACAAGGCTTAACTACCACTATTTATACTAATCAGCTCACAAGATTATAATTCAACACCCATATGGTGTGAAGAGAATGAGCATATATGCAAATCCTCCTCCTTTTGTGAATTCGTAAAGGACGGAAGCTTGTGCAACTTGCTGCTATAAATGGGAAGCCTTACTACTTAGTCCCCAACCATCTTCTCCAAGAAAAGAAAAAACAAACTATAGCCACTTCTACTAGCTAGTAACATGCCATTTAGAGACATGGAGAGTTGACTGGTGATTTGTCCTTGTTGGAACACCCATTGTCCCACATCGACCAAAAGGGAAGAGAGAAAACACTTTAAATAGAATTACCCCACTCTAACTAACACTGAGGCTTTTTGTGATAAAACCCCACATCTGAGGATTGTGCAGGTAGTTAAGTGGGGACAGTATCAGTGTTGTTGGAGTGGGTCATTGGCCCGTCGACTTGAAAAATTATACATGGTATCAGAGTCAAGGGATGGGCCTGTACTGCCACATGATTAGGTGGGTCCCCGTTTGGCTCCGTGTGATGGGTGAGTCCCGACATGGCTCCATGTAGGTCAAATATGCCATGTGATTGGGTGGGTCCCTGTTTGACCCTGCATGATGGGTGAGCCCCGACTTGGCTCCACGTGGTTGCCAATGTGTGGATCTCCAAGTGTGACCCACAAAAATGGGGTTTCATGTGCGGAAGAGTATTGGAACACCCATTGTTCCACATCGGCCAAGAAGGAAGAGAGAAAGCACTTTAAATAGAATTACCCCACTCTAACTAACACCGAGACTTTTTGTGATAAAACCCCACACCTAAGGATTGTGTAGGTGGTTAAGTGGGGACAATATCGGTGTTGTTGGAGTGGGCCCCTGGCCCGTCGACCTGAAAAATTCTACAGTCCTCATCCTCCTTGTGCATGTCAGCCACTGGTTGCTACTGATATTCCATATGTAAGTAAACTACCTAGAAAATCTGTGTATACTATTTTATCAAAGGTACAGAAAGGTGAGCATGATACTCTAAATGGAGGTGTAAAACTGGATTCTATGTTATGATATGCAATTAAGAATAGTGAGCATGATGGAAAACCAGACAACCCTTTTCTTCTAAATCCAAAATATAAGGACAATGAGCCCTCCAAGCTCCCCGTTAATAATACAGTGCAACCTGGATTGGGTGGATCTATCCCTCATAAAAAGTGTGTTTGTAGTAGCAGGTTGCCCAGACCCACAGCCATATGGTAAAGTGGTTCATAGCTGATGCGGGAGGCATATCTTGAAGAAAACAATTTGAAGACCACTAGTATGAATTGGAATAATAAGGTTGTGTATTTTAATGACTTGGGAATTTTTTAAGTCATTTTTAGATAGTTTCTTAGGAAGTTGCAGTATATTTATGTTCCTTTATCTTGAATTCCTTTAAATATTGATGTATTAGAAGCCTTTGGGGCTAGACTTGAATGAATTAAAATATCATTTGCTTGTTAACTACATTGCAATGGTTGTGAATTGAAGGGAAAAATAAGGAGAAAGGATGAACAGAAAGATGAACAGAGAGATATGAGAGAGAGAGAGAGAGTTTAGAGAGATAAATAGGTTTTGTATTAACTAACTCAAATGAAGATTACACATACTGTTTATATAGAAATCCTAACTACTTTAACCAAATACTAACTACCTAACTATATTACTAACTTTATTACATTTTTACCTTTGTTGATGCACAAAATCAACAAGGACTTTGGTACAACAGAAAGTGTTAAGTTTGTGACCTTCGCTAGATTACTCCGGTCACTAGTGTGGATAGGTATGTAAATGGATAGAGATAGGGAAGCAAACACAAGATGTACGTGGTTCACCCAGATTGGCTACGTCCACGGAGTAGAGGAGTTCTCATTAATTGTGAAGGGTTTACACAAGTACATAGGTTCAAGCTCTCATTTAGTGAGTACAAGTGAATGATTTAGTACAAATGACATTAGGAAATATTGTGAGAGAATGATCTCTATTTATAGAAGAGAGTTTCTAGTTTCATTATGACATTGACACGTGTCGTATTGTGATTGGCTACTGATGTTGACACATGTCGTGCTATGATTGACTTCTGATGTCTACACGTGTCACGCTGTGATTGGCCTCCTGGTTGAAGGGAAACTCTTCTGGGTCCTTGACGGTATAACGTTGACCGGTGCTCAGTAGTTTCGGGATTGGTCAAGTATGGTACAAACAGTGCTCCCCTAAGTTCTTGAGTGAGGGAAGTTTTCGGTTGGGGACTTGCAAGATCCAAGTCATTGAGTAATCACGAAACTTCTAAGTACCGAAGTGTGGTATCATTTTCACTTGCCTTATCTATCTCATATGTAGATGTGGCATCTTTTCTGGAAGTATTTTTCCTTCATCTAGGGGTGGTATCTTTAACCGATAAAGATGCACAAGGTAATATATCAATTTCACTTAAAGCTTACTTGTAGTTTCAGGCTTGGTCAAGTGCGATACAAACCCTATAGTAGGAGTACCCCAAGTCGCCGAGCTAGGAGATTTGTCGAATAAGGTAACAGACAAGGTAAGCAATCAGACTTCCAAGCAAGCAACCTGGATCAGAGGTTCGACTTCGGCTTCCGGTTGATTGTTCTCATTCTTTTTGTGTCGTAAACAGCAATAAGGATAAGGAGAAGCAAATGGAGAAGAGATGATATGAGATACTTTTGCTTTTGAAGAAGTAACTTTCCACAGACTTATTCTTGAACTGGGCTGGAGGGTTTTCTGGTTTCCTCCAGAGTATAAGGCCGACTCAAGAATTTGAGGGTCAAAACAAGTCCATCAAATCTAGAGTACGTTCGACCCTGAGGATATGGGATACTTTTGCTGTTGAGAAAGTAGTGGATGTATCGGCACGTGTTCTGTTATGCTTATCTCCACATGCTTCCTTGTATCCTTCTCACTTGCCCTATCTGTTCGTCAGGCAGATGTTGTATCTTCTCTGGAAGCATAAAATGTTGAAGATGAGTACTCGAGAGCAATGCCAGATACGTAATTAGGCAATGGGTTCCAGGCAGTCAATTCCTGACTAGAAGCTTGATTCCAAGTGCTGACTGATTGCTCTCTTTCTCCTTATCTTGCAGGTAAGAACAAGGCCAAAGGAAAAGACAGGGAAAAAGCATAATATGGGATATTCTTGCTTTTAACCCGGATGATATGAGATACTCTTGCTCTGGTGTGACTTGTTTGAAAAGGTATTATCGGGAGGAAAAGAAGCTGAGTATTTTGAGAGATTTTGTTGAGAGTGCCCTCTCGGATGTGAAGAAAAGTTGAGCATTTTTTTTATTTGTAGGTCTGCCTGGCTGTGGATGATAGAGGTCGACATAT